ACTTCCAAATTAAGCCACTAATGGGGGATTCATTATTCACGTAACCTCATAATGTTTTATTTATTCTCATTTCACATATATTTGTTGTGCTTAAATGTATAGATTGTATATTTCTTGTAAAAAAAAAAAAAACATGATTAATCATGAAAGAGGTCGACTTACTGTTGATCTACGAAAAATATAACAGAAACGCAAAAGCATCAACAAGATTATACGCCCAACATTATCCAGATCGTTTTCACTTTAGTCGTACTTATGTTCGAAAACTTGAAAATTCTTTGATAAAAAATTGTTCATTTAATAGAACAAATGCTGTTCAACAACAACCTCGGGTAAATCAAAATTTTAATGAAGTTATTAATTATCTTACTAATTAGCGTATGTACTTTTTAAACCCACGTTCGTCTGTTAGACACGTTGGACATGAAGTTGGTGTGCCCAAAATTTTAGTTCATTAGATTAAAAAAAAAAATTACACTCTTACAAGCCAGACTTTGTCCAACATTTACGCATAACAGACCCAGAAAAAAGATTACATTTTATTCCTTGGTTTATGTTGACATCAGATGTCAAGATTCTGAGGATGACCCATTATTAATTAATAATATTTTGTGGACTGATGAAAGAAAATTTATTAATAATGGAATATTAAATAAACAAAACAATCGTTATTAGCCGTATGAAAATCCTCACTTGACTTTTCCTACAAACTTTTAAATATGTTGTTTGTATCTAAACGTATGGGTTAGTTTGATTGGTGGGAAATTACTAGGGCCCTATTTCTATGACGAAACTTTAATGGGATGAAGATACATAGATATTTTGCGTAATGACTTGCAATTACTCCTTGATAATTTACCTTTAGCTCTACGTAAAAATATATATTATCAGCAAAACGTGGTCCTTAACCTACTCATAATGCCCGAATTGTCCAAGAATTTTTGAGAATTAGATTTAGCGAAAAATGTATTGCAACACATGGACCAGTAGAGTGGCCCTCAAGGTCACCTGATCTAAAACCATTAGATATTTTTTGTGGGGACACTTGAAAAATTTTGTGTATACTAATTCTCTAATCAAAATTTAACATTTAAAAAATAAAATTACACACGCATGTAACCTTTTAAATTAAAACCAAATACTGCCAGCAACTACTTATGAATGTTTACTTCGATTTGAGGTATGCGCTTTACACAAAGGAAGGAATTTCGAACAGTTTATTGAATAGTTTATGTTTGTAATTTCTGTAAATTAAATTGTAAATAAAAATGTATGGGTAGTAGGGGTCTCAAATGATATCGATATTTCGATAATTAAGGATTTGTTTGTAGGTAATTTCATGATTCAACGCATTATGCAGTGTGTTAGTATTATTACTTAGCTATAGCAATAATTGTGACAAACGAGCGTTTAATATGTGTGTTTATTTATTTTAGTTAGGTTATTCTTCACTGAATTCAATCCCTGATAGGTGGAAGGTGGTGAGATAAGGCCACGGCGATGACGATGAACCTATATAAGAGGATTAATTAACCCAAGACCATTAACGGTCGGCCTTTTGGTCAGTTCGCATAAACGATAACTACTATCCAAATATGTATGTATATTACGTCAACTTCAGCAGGCGACGGCATATTAATGGCATCGAGTTTCTAAATTACCTGCAAATAATTACTAATATAAGATGTAATAATAAACAAATTTTGGCTCGAATAATAATATTACGTAAGATGATAACAACGTCAAGATCATATACAATGGACCTAAAAAGGTTCCTAAAATAATACACCTTTTGCCACGAATTTATTAAGAAAATGTTCATACATGGTTTTAATTCATGTAAAATAATTCGTTTATGCGCGTCTTTATATCATCGATAAACATTGTTATATTTTTCCGATATTACCCTGTATAAAATATATTTAAAATATAAAACTAACACAACTGAATAATAGTCTATGTTTTTACAAAACCTTACCGATTCTTATAAAAACTGACACAAAATGTAAGACCAATATGTTAATAATAAAATTTGATTCGAAATCTTGGAGGTCCATTTTTTTATTTATTTTTTTTTACGACGAAAATGAAAATTCAAGGGTTCGTCATATCTTCAAATAAATCTAAGCCTTTCTTGGTCAAGTAAATCCATATAGTCTTATTCTAAATCGACACCGACCTTTTTGTGATCCTGCGAAGTTAAAAAAAGGAGGAATCTGGCTATTCCATTGCCTACAGTTGTATTGGCGATCAGCAACTTTTTTTATCATTATATTAACACAAAAAAATACTGGAACGTATAAAAAAAATTACAGCTCGTAACATTATGAATAAATCATAAGAAAATTATAATTTATAATAAAGATTAAACGATAAAGAAATTCTGTTGGAAGTTATCACAAGTACTACATTTAAGATTAAAAGGTTTTGATTAATTACATTTTATATCGATATACGTAAAAACAATTAATCATTTTTCCTAATTTATAATCAATACTCTTAATTTTATCCTTCGATTATTCGGGATCAACCTCGATTTGTTTAATTTTTAATATATGTTTATTATACTATCAATGTGACGATGATATAATAATATTGAATAATGTTAATGAATTTCGAAAAAATATTATCTAAACAAAGTTTTGTAGAAGATATAATCTAACGATAGAATCATAAAATCTTTTTGATCTTTAATATCAAATGAAAAATAAAAAACTTACATTTGCAGATGAAATGTCTAAAATTAAAGGCCACTATAAATTATAAATCGCAATCTATCATTACGATGATGTTTGAGTCTACCGTGGCTTTACACATATTAAATTATACTAGCAAAAAACTGTCATATTCTGAAATCCTCCCTCTCCTGTTAGAGTAAAATCAATTATAAATTAATATAAACAATACGTGTAAAAAAAAAGTGTACTATTAAGTTACTTGCAATGGGCCTATATAGTTACAGAAATATCTTGGTGTATTCAATTCAAGACTGGGCAAATGAATAATACTTTATAATTCATGTAGCGAGCCTCGACTTGATAGGGTTGAGCTCGTACGATTATTTAATGACGGAGATCTCGTTGTTGATTGGTAGATGGAAAACGTCAGAGGTTGAGACAAAATACACGAATGTTAAATGAATGTAAGACTTTATTAAATTAACTAAAAAGTACAATGAAAACTAACTTTAAATACTAAGGTAATCTATGGTTCAGCCGCAAGGAGGGAAACATAGACTACGTGTTGAGGCGAAGACACAAGTTAGTTCTACCCTAGTATACAAATGTATCCGTATATATACTAGTGCTACTCCTACGTTACGTGCTTCTGGAAGGTCGACAATAAGGAAAACGGAAATATCATAAGGAAACAGGAAAAAAGACTCATGGGTGCTGAGGTCTCCATGGCCTCGGTTAGTCTATAAGATATTACCTTCGACGTGCTCGCACTACCCAAAGGTTTCGTAACCCGGATAGAATTACTATGCTTACAGTCGACGTGCTTGTAATACCTATGGGATTACTACACTCAGTTAAAATAACGTTAAGCGTTCATATAAGTGACATATATATATATATATATATATATATATATATATTAACAATTTATAGCAAATCTTAATCAATTGATAAGTCATTAAATTCATAATATCATATTTGATAATCATTAATGATAATGAAAAAGCAGAAAAATCTTATTTAAGAATATTTTTTATTGAATTCTAATTAAAGTAGAAAAATATATATTTCTTTATTGGGATTGTTTTTAAGTACTCAAATATCAAATTTACGATAATTTATGCGTGGTAAGTTTTTTATTCATTTTTCATACAAATCACAAATAATAAATATAATTTTAAAAAGTATTATTTTTAATGTTCAATAACAGTATGAAAATTAAAAATAATTACTGCAGCTGAAAGTGTAACTACAAAATTATACAGACAATAAATGTATACAGTAGATACAAAAAATTAAAATAAATATACAATATTATTTAACTTTATTAAAACCAAAACAAATAAAACAATATAATGGACAGGTTAATCAAAATACCTATTGAATCGCAATAAAAAAGCCATCTCAAAATGTTGATCAGCTTTTAAATTTCTTTTCATATCCAATAATATATCATAATATCATCGATTAAGGGATAATTTTAATAATAATTGTATTCTATAATCAATGATGATATGTACCTATTTACAGAGGTGGAACTAAGAATTTTTTCACCCGGAAAAAATGTTAAAATTACTCCCTATCATAGACCATTAATCGAATTTTTTTCTTTTAATTAGTATACAATCATACGTATTGAGTTTTAACCTAATATCAGTATTTAACAAAGTTAAAAATATCAAATTAGTTGTAAATATTTACATAAATTACACCCTCCAAAATTTTACGCCCAGGGATGAATCCCCGTCTCCCACCCTCTAGTTCCGCCTCTACCTATTTATTTAATATTGATTTACGGCCCCTTTTCATAACAATAGTAATGTGTAATTCATGTATGGCATGGCTATTTTTACTCAATAGTCTTAAGACGGTTGACTACTTTTTCCGAGACCGATGGGACCCCTATCATTAGTTCTATATTAATCTATATACTCTTATTCGTTTTCATTTAGTTTCTAAATTTAATTTCAAATTGAGTTTTTTTGAGGCCATTAAAAATATCGATTGTGTACTGGCTTAGACGTAACCAGACAAATATATCGCAACTAAATTATTAGCAAACGAATTCGAGATCATTTGACATTGTTCGTGCTTTAAGAGAACACTACTATAATAATTTTTCTGATTGAAATCAATACGTTGAAAAAAAAATGGGACCCACAACGAGGTAAACGAAACTACACGATAATAACGTAAAACCGGATCGTAACGATTTTGTTCCTCTGCCACGCGAAGCTATCACGTCCGACGTGAGACCAGAATGCCCCACCGCGTGTAATAACGCGTAATGTTTTTTCAGTTCCGATCGTCGTTGCGCTTCCGATCGCCGTTGCAGTTCTGATCCGATCTCGGTTAGGTCTCTCGGTCTGGTGTTCTGTGTCATCTGCGGGTGGCCAAAGATTTGGACCGCGATGACGCAGGACGACTATAGTGAGTACTACTGTTGAATTTCTCGATGTCGAGTACGGTCGATTTGGTTATGTTCTCACGCGTGCCTCGCGCTTTTCCCGCTTTAGCTCGCCGTGGTTTCGCGCATCAAAGATGCCTTGCTGGAGCACTGCGATGGGGACGGCGAGACGGTGGACGGATCTGTTCCGATCGTGTTCACTGACCCGCGGCCGCAGCCGACACCGGCACGCAGACGGACGAAATGTCTGCCACCGCCACCACCGGAGATTCAGTCGACCGCACTCGAGTGGCCACTCGTGACGTCGCGTGCAGCCATTTCGAGGTATCGTACGCGAACGGATGCGCCCAGCTGAGCCCGGCCACTAGCGATGTCGCGTCCGGTGATGAGACCGTTTACGTGGACGGATCCGCTCAAGTCGGCGTGGCGATATGCCACGTCGCGTCAGGCGTCGACGTCGAGTACGTAAACGGACGTTCCGCACGGACATGTAATGTGGTGGTGCAAAATAGGGCGCGCACGATGGCCTAAGAAATGGTCCAACTGGCACCGACGGCCGATAGTACGTCTGGCCCCGGCACGGAACTCGGCCCGTCAAAAGCTGACACCCAAGTGAGAAAAATTATAGTACCGACCGATTTAGAGCAGGTTTCTAATAGTTATTTTTTCTCGCGATAAATTTTCGACGTGACAAGAGAAAAAAAATCATTGAGTATCTAGAAAAACATATAAAATGTTGATAAAAATTTGTGTGGAGGAGGTCATCTTATCGATGTATACGCGTCATGGATGTCTTGTTCGGAATGATAATAAGTATCAAACTCTATAAATTCCTTTCGCCGTACCCGGTCGATTTGCAGTTTCCTTCTTATGACTGACCCGAGAGAAGAAACTACCACTACCAGTATTTATAAGAATAACTGTTGAAGTATAATTTAAAGTAGCGAACATTAAAAAAAAAAAAAAAAAAATTTAAAAACATTTAAAATCTACCAATACACGTGTAAAAAATCGATCGAAAGCATATGCACGATCGTTCACTCACGTCCATAGATATTAAACCAATTGAATTGTTATTCTCTCAGGAGTGTACGTTAAACCGAACTTATAAATATTGGAAACTGCGGTTCTCACTATTTTCGAAGTTTGACGAGGAAGTTATGCTCGATGAGGATAAATTATAATATAACATATGTACGCGAATATATTTTCTAACGAATCTTTTTCCACGTGATTACGCAGCCAGTATGTACTCCGTTTGCCCAGAAGTACTGGCACAACATATTGCCAAGAGGTGTACTTCATTCGGTACGGTCTTGGACCCGTTTTGTGGTACCGGGGTTAATGTAATACAGCTGGCATTAACTTGTGACCATAGTAAGCTTGTTCATACTACGATTGAACAGTAATATAATTCAACACAATAATACGATTTTTTTTTTAGTAATCGCCTTGGATCCAAAATTGACTTGGATTCAAAGAAAATAGCTTTGGCCAAAAAAAACGCAGAGGTTTATGGAGTGGCCCACCGGATAGATTTTAAGGGGGGCAATTCTTTCTTGGTAGCCGCTAACCTCAAGGTGGATGCCGTTGTCGCCTCCCCGCCGTGGGGCGGTTCCGGGTACGAAAGGCGAGCAAAGTTTGACGCCAGAGACCTTTGTGGACGTGAAACTGATGGAATGGCAGCTTTTATTCGGATGGCACGTGCGGTTGCACCCAAGGTGGTTCTGCACGTACCGAAGAATATAGATAAATCCCAAGTACGCTTTACGCGATATCGTAACATAATAATAATAATAATAATAGTATAACAACGTGCGTCATGTTCAATATTTAATATCGACCCCTGGGACAGCGAAAATGTCATATTTTGGTTAAAAACAGGTACTAGTTATACGGGATTTTCAAATACCTACTGCAAGTGATAAGAGTAATATTATAGAAACCTGTTGCCTTACATTAATATAAATAAATAAATAAATTTGATTTAGTAATAAATTTAATTTCATTCGACTTTTCCGTGCACCGTAGTATTTGCAGATGGCAATGGACGAGGGGTTCAGTCGAATACAGTACGAAAGTGTATGGATTGACAAAAAACCGAACTGTATGAACCTCTATCTTACAAGAGTACGTATTACAATACTATTACCATTTCTCCTATGCGTATTTTATCATCCGCGGACGACGTTGAAATTCTATGTCTCCGTGTTATTAAAAGTACCTAAGACGTATTCAAAGCGTGTTCATTTCGAGTTTCATTTCAGATCCCCTTAGTAAAGTTCCAAGTTTTTTTTTCATACTAATTCGTGTCAATTGTTTTAAAAGTAATAACGACTATTTTACGTTGACAATGTATAGTTATTATTGTTTTAGAACGACACAAACGCACGAGGAATACCAGTTCAAACTTCAAAATTGGTGCAACCGGATAATCCATGTAACTAAAGAACTTTCAGTGTATATACTCATAAATCGGTAACACGTATGCTAATTTTGTTTTCTCTTTCCTAGCGTCAAATAAACAACAAATCGAGCGTCTGCGTACAGAGGACAAGTTCATGTACAAATCGTATTTAAATAAGGTAACCCGATTTTTAGAAACATAATATAAATTAGATTATTCAATATATAAGGCACAACGTAAGCAAAATGAACGAGGAACAACATATCTTGTTATTATTACTAATCAAAAACAATTTTTTTTCTAGATTATTTTCGTCCTACCAAAATACGAAAATTACAAGAACTCATCTATTTGTACTTTTACATATTTTCAATTTTTTCCACACAAAATATTCGCTGAAAAATACTTTTTTTTTTTGTTACTTAAATAAAACATTTTTCATATTTTTAAGTACCTAATAAACTATTTTTGTCAAACTAATAAGTTTTTATTTGTAATTTCATTTATTATACTGCTGTATCTCGGATCATTTGATGGTGGATCCCTATTATTAGTTAATATCGTAGTAAATATTTTGCTCTTATCTAAATATTCTTTGAAATATTTATTTTCATATTTTTCTACATTTCATAAACTTATTATCGAATATGGTATTTTACAAAAACATTTTTATGACCTTGAATACCAAAATTAACTTAATTGGGATAAATGAAAAAATAATACGTTAATTTTATGTTAATTTGTAAGGAAATAAGTTAAGTTAATATATCAGTAATGAAATAAATTAAGTTAATAAGTTAAATTAACTTAACTTTTAACTTAAATTTTTACTTATTAATTCGTTAATATCCAGGCTTGATTAAATTGTTAATGAAACAATTGGTATAGTAATAATATTTCCCACAATATAGTGAATGAGATACTGAGTCATATAAAATTCATTAATTTTTGTAATCTAAAATAGGATAACTATATTTAAATCACACTATGTGAAATTCTATTAAAATCACATCAAACGTACTGCAGTAGCTTAAGCGGATCAAAGTTTTTATTTTCTGAAAATACTATTTGTTATAACTTAACTACTCCATTCAAAAACCTATGATTTAATGGTGTGCCTATGCGTGATGTATAACTAAGAAATGTTAATAATATTTATTTTTCAAATTTGAATATCTATTGTACCTACTATGTATATTTTTGTGACAACGTTTGATATTTTTATACATATAAAATATTATAGGTTAAAGAAAGGTATTTTCATCATATAGACAATTTCGTAATATTATTTCTTGAACGTATGAGTATTATGTAATTTCTCACTTCATGATTCTTAAAAACAATAATTTAAAGGATTGATGTAATTTTTCAAGTCAATCGTGTAATAGAGAATTACATAATACAATCAACAAATAATATCACGAAATTGTCAATGCCACGAAAATACCTTACTTCACTCTGTATGAATAGTTGTAAATATCAATTTTAGTGAGTTAGGAATAGTTATTAAAATTATATGATCACATTTTAATTAAATAATACGTATTATATGAGAATTAAAATTCACTTAATGAGAAAAAAAAATGAAAATTTGAATAAGTGTTTTACCTAAATATAAAAAGGTGTTTACAATTTCAAGGGATGTTATACCCTAAATTCGTTCCATCGTACACTACTGAATAATTTAATATTAAAAATATTAAATACGGAAAACAATTTTTTTTATAGTATTTGAGAAAAAAAAAATCATAAAAAAGTTATGTTTTTGTTCATTTTGTTAAAATTTATATTATTATTAAGCTTTCTGATAATGCATTCAATAATTGTTAAACTCGGAGCTATAATTCGGTCATTTTTATGACTGTGTAATAAAACAAAATTATATCCAACGAACCACATTTGTTTTCTTAATATTAATTTCAAAATAAAAAAAAACTCGTAAGCGTCAACCATCATTTTTATTCCAGTATAAAAATGTAATTATAAGACGTTTCCGGAAAATCATACAGTAAAATACATTAAAATAATTCCGCCTATCTAATAAAGAAAATACTGCTACTTGAAAATCTTGCCAACTCTATTTGAGAAAGACTTTTATTTTTTTACTTCGGTTGTGTTATTCACTTTTTCACTAAGTTAGTTTTTAACTTTACTTTATATTAATAGGTATACTATTACGTAATATTATTACGACTTAATTCTAACTGTGAGTAGTTTTTTGAGTTCAAGCAAATCATGTAATACGGAGTACGACGTAAAACGTATCAGATCCAATTCTACATAAAAGAAATAATATTTATAAGATTACGGTCCTATATATGAGGTCAAAATAACACCTATATTTATTATAATGATATTCTTGTAGATTCCAAGACATGGAATGTATACTAAGGTTCCACAAATGTTTTTTTTTTTTTTTTTTGTAAAAGATAATATTATCTTTATGATGTGTAACGGATTCGTTCCGAAATCTTGAATTCAACTACCAGGGGATTCGAAAATCCGACCCGGTCAAATTTTCTACTTTATACATTATTATTTTCGTCATCGCAAATATCAACATTTCACTATACATATAATAAAGTTTCAATTGAAATCGGGTTGGTAAGACGTGCTCTGGCATTCGACCTCACACACAGCACTCCACAATTCATAAGCGTAATGTAATAGTACGTTTTTTTACCCTCGCGCTATATCTACAATGAATTCCAATACTTTCACGTGTTTGTATTATTTTCAAACATGAGTAATGGTTTATACGATTATTATATAATTTTTAATAAGTTAAAGTTCGTAAATACGAAACTTTTTTTTTTTTATTAAAATTAAACGAAAGGATTCTAATCGACATCATCGTAAATATCGATAATTAATATATGTGTTGATGTTATACTGCGAAATGCAAAGAAAATATTGACATACGAGATGATTCATGGCGTCACATTTGCAATTTTATCTTGTTGTAGTAAATTACGTATAATTATGTATTATAATTATTTCATTAGTAATTTTTCTTCCCTCTTCAAATTATAATTTGCGCTAAAAGTATTTTATTGAAAATGATCAATTTTCCATATTCTCAGTAAATTTTTTCATCAAGAAATAATTTAAAACTACAAAAAAAAAAAACCTTCTAAAAACTATCTTTAAAACTACATAAATCAAAATATATTAATATAATCTCGTAAATGTATTATAAATAAAATGCATTAGATAAGAAATATAATAAATATTAAGAAAAAATATATTTATGTATAAATTAATTGTATTTAATATTATAAATTAAAAATATATTTATGTTTATTATACAATACACTGTAAATTTAAGAATACTATATTATAAAAATATTATAATTTATATATTTTATATACTTACTTTCATATGTAGTCTAAAATTTAACGTGAAATTTATTTATTTTGAAGTAATTCTATTTTTTTTTCTTTTTCACGTATCACACATTTAGCTTTTACAATTTACATTTATTATCTTATCAGAATTTTAAACAGTACAGAACGTACTATCTAATTATTTTGGAATATAAATTATTGAATTATTCTGATTATTCATATTTTTTTAATAATACACATATCGTATAAAATGTAATATACACCGACCGGTGACTGGCGGTGACCAACTGAATCTAATCGCTGATATATTATCGGCAGACGGTATTAACTAGTAACTGTTACTTTAATCTAACTTATATAACATTACAATTTCATTGCTACACCAATATTAAAATGGTTTGTATGACCGTATTACTATTTTTTCGAAGATATAAAACGTAAGTAGATATAAATATAAATACAAAGAAATTAATGAGAAAAAGGTCTTATTAATAAAATCTTTAGACACGGCTAATTAGCTAGACGTCTTATTAGTTTGTATTTTCAAATAATATGAGCCGTGATTGAAAGTTAATGATTAAAAAATACGTAATTATAAATAACAGATTATAATCAAAACTTTCACGTTGTGCGCTAATTGAAATATAATTATTAAGAAGCATTGTCGTCACTATGTTCAACAAAGTCCCGGGCAAAGCACTTGTGAAGCGTTGTAAAACATTAATCGGTATATTACCTACGTGTTAAATTATGTATTTCTATTGACTAACCTAACCGTTTAAGAATATTACTTAACAAGACCAATTAAAATAAACGTTCAAAATGTGTGTACCTTTATATACTGTAAAACATATTTTGTTAAGATCATACGGTTTAATTTTGTATAAACTGTCTACAAACTGGAGAGATATAAATATATATATATATGAATTTATAAGGGTTATTTTGTGCTTGCGTTAACTATAGTCTAAACTAGAATTTCCAACGTGGACGCTGCCATCCGATTTAAGGGAGCATTTGCATTTTTATTATATGAGTTGGATCGACTTCAGGAAACTACCTAGAAACTGTGTATCTTTAACTTCGGAAAGAAGTGGAGTTCGTAATTAATAATTAAGGCTTTTCCCTCAAAATACACACTTGAAAAAGACTTTAGTTCAGTTCAAAAATTTCTCTTACAAAATCAAGAAATCCATGAAAGTAGCTACACACGTAACTGCAAGCTTGTTAATCATTCAGATACAATCTTCTTATACAAGCATGCATAATTCTCCTCTGTCATCACACGGAAAAAGCATGCTTGAAAAGCAAGACCAGTTTGTGTTCCAAACATGTCGAGTTCGGACGGTGTCGCGCTCGCTTTAGCTGCTTTTGCTGTAATTTTAAAAAGTAAAAAATCGAAAGAAAAAACACGTGCTATTGAATTAAAAACTGGTTATTGAAGAAAAACTTTTTTCTGGTACCAACTTATTAAATTAATCAAAAACACATCCACAAGATTGGCACAATTATCTGCGATTGATTGAATAAACTTATTTAAACCTTTTGTCCCTTATCACACCTTTAATTAAAAAATAAAATACAGTAATGAGAGAAGCTATAACACCTCATGAAAGGTTAACGATGACGTTGAGACATTGAGGCGACGTTCTTGCACTAGTACGACTTGTACGAATGCAAGCATACAGCTGAAAATGTCATCAATCTTCATTTCACTTATACAGTCACAATGCTTGCACACAATTATAAAACAGGCCTTCAGACATGCTTAGACAAAAAAATTGTATCTGCATGATTGACAAGCTTGCAGTTACATGAATAGCCACCTTAAATTATATATGAAAAAAGAGATCGAAGTCTAAGGATGACCACATCATAACAAAAAGGCAAAACTATGTTTAACAGTGTTAGTTAGCCTAACACTGTCTTGTTAAAAATAAAAGATTAGAAATTACATTGCATACGTGCACTGATAAGACTAAGACAAAACAAAAAGTTTTTGTTTTAAAACACAATTCATTGAGCCAGAAATTGATTCATTATCAGAAAATCATCAACCCCAGCGCAGTTACTAGTCAGATGAGTATTATTTGTGTCATTATTTTACAATCGAAAATTCGAGATTTTATTTTCAATTCATATTTATATTTATTGTTAAAAATGTACTATAGTGTATAATTACTGTATTTTTATTTTACTTAAAATTCTGTTATAATAATGTTAATAATTATGTTGATAATAATAAATTAATTTTGAAAATCTAAAAAGGACATTGTATGAAAAAAAAAGTTGAGAAACAATGGTCTAGATGGGCGGTTGACTTGGAAAAAATATTTTTAATGCCAGACAATTTAATAATTTAAATATTAGAAAATTAGTGAATGTTTTGGAATGAAAAAATAAAAAACTAATGACCTAAATAGACACTGCACTATACACACGTATCTCGTGAGTTTTTCCGACTGAAGGCTTAAGGTCATGAATTTTTTTTTTTTTTAAGAATAACAAAAAATTGTTATGCTTTGATTAAAACGCAAGAAGAGATATTATTAAGCATACGTAAATCCCCGTATAGGAAAATGTATATATACATATTGCGTGTTGTTTATTTTCCTTACCGCTCATTTAAGCGCCGAATATGCAAAATAGACGTTTGCATTGATCTATATTAATACGGTACGGGAATAACGTATATGTAACACAACTCCACAAAACCACGTTAACAGACAAAGCGATATAATTATAGCTAATTCTACTTGCACGGAAGATTGCAACAGCATTATTAATCAAACAATCGGAAGAACACACGAGTCAACTACGTGATTATATTATTATAATTTACTCTCGCGAAGTAAAGCTCATTCTTTTTATTTTTTTCCGAAATTTCGATTATTATAAAGCGTCGTCGACCCGTATAACTTACGTTTCACTTTTACCGTAATAATAACTATAATTATACCGCGGCTGTTGGCACACAGTATAATCATATTATGTTGAGTATCGTCTGCAATAATAATTATAATAATGTGTTATACCAACCTGAACGAATGGAATCGTGTTGACGAAGGGTGTATTACGAATGCTCTCAGTGGCATCCTCCGATGACGTGAAGATATGTGATTTGTAAAAAGGCGCAATTTCAATGAAAAAACTAGGGCTGCTGAAGCCCTTCTCTCTTTTTCATGTTCCTTAATGGTTATAGACATTCGGAAACCGTACAATTCAACAGTTACTAAAATATTTGGTAAATATATAAATATTTCTAAATTTAAATTGTTCACTTTGATTTTATATTTTTATTGTGCGTATAATAAATTACCTGTCTGTAAACACAAATATTTTATCACATGATCACTTTTAGATTCTGACTGAAGCGAAGGATATTATGGTTTTATAATAATGTTTGTACTTTATTTGTTAAACATTTTTTCGGATAGAAATACTGGTCAAGTTTTTTTATGACCTTTTAAATCTTAATGGTTTTTCTTGATGTGAGAAAAAAACTGTCCTAAAATGGTAAAAATACGCTGTAAATAAGACTTTCACATTTCAAATTTTAGTTAATTAGTCATAATTCCAAAAGTAATGTGGCTAGAAACTTGAAACTTTTACCCTATAGCAGAGATATTTTTTTTCGTATTGTATAAAAAAATCAAAAACTACTATGTTTTTCTATACATAACGAGTAATGAGTATTTAAATGTAAATTAACATAAACACATTTGGGGTTGCTAAGCACACACAAGCTCCCCCAAATTGCGCCTATGAAACTGTGTAGGTATAATCTAACAGTCACACGTATACGGTATTTCAGTAAATGTAAACACCAACAATTAGACTTTATACAGTATACTCAAATCAGTAATCATTATTTTTATGTTAGACGGGAATGAGAAAATAATGAATCCTTTTATCCTACACTCGTCAAAACTATAATTTAACGTGACTAAACATTATAAAACACTGTATTTCACGTCTATTCAATAACATATTTTAGATATTTGACTGAAGAGTATTACGTAAATGAATTTATGTATAATTTAAAATATTTTAAATGATTTTTAGAAAAACAAATCTAAAAATACAGTTCAGTGCCGTAGCTTATTTCGTCATATCGAGTTTTCTATCAATTAATTTTGTACTCACGTTGAAAATGCAGAAAAATATACATTCGATGACTAGAGTATTAAATAAATATGTCAGCAAGTTTGGGGTATATGTATTTTTGAGTGACGGATCAGTTTTTTTTTTGCTAGTTATGTGAAATTCGAGTACAGATCGAAAATAAATAGTTACACAACACTTGAAAGTGATAAACACTGCAGTGCCGTAAATTGCTATCAAAACGTCAACCTCAACCTCAACAGTAAAACAATAAAAAAAGAATTTCGTTACGTTCAAAAATAACTATGTGTTCCATTAACAGCAAGAACTTCCGTTTGCTTAAGGAAAAAATACTTTTTTTTTTTATTAAAAGCAAAATATTTAATATCTATAATGTATAGTTTACAATAAGCAAATGTAATGATTAATGACGTAGGGAAAGTAGTGTTCCCACCACCCGGTGTATTATAGTAAATGCACCGCAATAGCCCTACCCTGACCTTACCTGATTGGGGTAGTCTGGTCCTCCAGGTAGGGGGTTGAGAGTAAGGCTAATAACCTTACGTCTTAAAAACTAATTTTTACGATACAACCAAAATCACCTCGGATGAAAAATGTGGAGCTAAAGGATTTCTCGATAGGAACATGGAATTTACGATCGCTGTATAGGACCGGACATCTGACGACAGTGAAATAGAGTCTTGAACGTTATCAACTGAATATAGCTGCGATTTAAGAAACTAGATGGCCAGAGCAAGGAAACCTAAAAACAATTAATTGGACCTACTTCTACAGTGGTGGATTGGATCATCAAGCAGTAGTGGGCTTTGTCGTGAATGACAAACTCCTACCTAACGTAAAACGCTTTGAAGTAATTAACGACAGAATATGCTATCTGGAATTAGAATTTAAAAGATACAACTTAGTCATAATCAATGGTTACGCACCTATTGAGGACAAAAATGAGGATATTAAGAATGAATTCTATGAAAAACTGGATACTATATGTGACCTACTACCAAACAACAAAGTTAAAATAATACTTGGAGATTATAATGCTAAGATAGGTCAAGAATCCTTCTTTAGTCCGACAATAGGAAAAAATATCTTACATACAAACTCAAATGACAATGGTTCAAGACTGGTAAATTTTGCTATCACACGAAATATGGTAATAAGTAACACTATCTTCCCACATAAAAACATACATAAGCAAATGTAGATTTCACCAGATGGACGAACGAGAAACCATATAGACCAAGTAGCAGTTGATGATAGAATTAAAAGATGTATAATGGATGTAGCATGAGGAGTAGTAACGGAATATCAGACCATTTCATTGTAAAAACAAAAGTCAAATTTAGATTATATATAAAATGAAAAAAGCGAAAAGCACCAGTCAAAAAGCTAAACATTGAATAACTAAAGAATCCTCAGACAACAGAACAATACAAAAATAGGTTAAATGATACATTGCGAACAGTGAAAGAGGAATACAGTATAGATGATATGTGGGAAAAAAACCGAGAAGTCATTGAAGAAAATAGCAGAAGAAGTTTTAGGATTTCAAAGAAAACGATCAATAAATAAATGGTTTAATGAAGAATGCAAAACTGCAATAATTGCAAAAAGAGACAACGCAAGAACAATAATGTTAAAA